CGAGCTGCAAAAACCCGCCATCCCTGATGATGAAAGTCTTCTACCTCTCCACAAAATACTGCCCATGCGCTTCTCGACAGACGAAGCTGATGCCAACAGGGCACGGGAATGAAACGCAAGTTTAATGGTAACTTCTAAACAATGCGCCTTGCGGGATGGACCGTTCATGTCGAATGCCATCACGTTGGACGACCGGTGAAAATCGAAGTGTGAGGGACGTGTTTGAACCATCACGAACGCGCAGACCAGGGGGCTGCTTCCTAGCCAAGCGTGCCTGGCGCGTTGCAGTTTTATGACCAGTTTGCCAGTTTGCTTTGAAGGACCGAACCGGGAGAAATGAAAACCAGCGAAACCATCATGGATTGCACATACGCAAAAACCCGAACCACAATCAGCGAATCCCGGCCAGATAGGACCATCCGCCTTCACTACGTCTTCCACCATCCGCCTTCACGACGTCTTCCACTGCACGCTTGGTTACTCAGTAGGTACAAAAATGAATAACGGCTTCCGTGCGCGTTCGTGCAAAAGCCATGAGCGTTTACACAAGGGTGCCGTCCGCGGACCGCTCTCGCCATTCCTGTTCCTCGCAAAACAACTGCCACAACACATTACCAAACTGCCCGTCAACACTACTAACGCTTGACAGAAAGCATCGAATAGTCACTGTTGCCTCCCAGCATGTGCGCCGCCTTACGAATTCACTCGTAGCACCATGTAGGACTCTCTCGCAAACGCACATCGCAACGCTGGCGCACCCCGTCCGGACAGAAACCAAAGGAAAACACAGCCAAAACATAACGAGCCCCAAGCCCCCACCACACTGCACCTCCATGAAGCTGCACGCTTGCATACACACGTCCATGTCTGCCATCATACAATATGAAAAGCAACAGTCCCACAACCATGCAGATCAGATGCGTGTGCCTCTGAGCGCGTACTTTCTAAACACGCCGGCGTCCGATTGCAGTGGAAGAGAGAGCTACTCCCCAGCGCGGAGGTACGCGCCCAGAGTGCATAGACCCATACTGCTCACACATGCAGGTCTCTTGGCCTCTCACAAAATACTGCAGATACGCCCATCGGGAGACGCAGTTGGCTACACGGGGAGGCCCTGTCAAATCGCGTCTTGTGGAAAGGTCAACGAGCATCCCAAGCATCAAAGACGCCACGTGCATGTGAACGTAGCGTGAGCTGCTGCCGTGCTTCCCTTTACCACTTCCTGGTCATTCGGAGTACCATGAACAGTCTGACGGTAGTTGCAGAACTACCGCAACAAACAGTGTGGCGTTCACAACTTTACAATCATTCGAATACCGAGCAGCGTGACTGTTCTCCTGAAGCCACAGGTACCAGACTGGCCTAGGGGCGCCATACTCCTTTTTACTCAACAGCTACGTAATCCGCCAGGAGCTCGGCGGAATTCGCTGCAAGCCTGATGGGGTCCGGCAACACGTGCGTTCGCTACGCCGGCGGCCGTCACCTATCCCTGGCTATCGCTGTCCTCCGCAGGATACCCAGTGCCTTACATGAACGGCCGGATCGTCGATGCTACCAAACGTTTGGCATACCCAGTGCCTTACATGAACGGCCGGATCGTCGATGCTACCAAACGTTTGACACAAACTATCGCCGAGTCGCTGCTGCCTCCTTACAACTATTGCGCTGCAGATACACTGCGCAACCTGCTCAGTGCGGTCGGCTCTCAAGTCTGACTCTGTCTGGCAAACGCATATCGCAACACCGAAAGACCCTGCCCCTGCACATT